CTTGAGAAAAGGAAAGGACTTGGGCAGTGACTCGGCAGTGGAGTGCTAGCACTGAAAATTGTGACACTATATGTTGAGATGGGTCAAAGGATGCAGTGACAAAACAGAGATAGTCCTCCTATAGTCTGAGTTTCTTTTAACCATTTAGTTTCCAGTTTGCTTCCATTTGAGAAAAATGTGCAGAATGCTGAATCAAGAAAAGAGCAATAAAAGTGAATAGGCTGGCCAGTCAGACCTACCCAAGGTATAGAGGTGCGAGTTTGGGGCATTAACACTGCCTGAGCAGCTCCAGCAGGCAGGGAGGGCACCAAAAGGGGAGCTGTCACTGCAGGGGGTCTGCTCTCTACCAGGTTTCACCACTGGGTCTGTCAGGGAAGGAAGGGAGTGGTCCTGGCATTGAACTTCTGTGCATTCCATTGGGTTTTTTATTTGTGATAAGTTCATTGGCTCTTAATTTCACAGAACCCCTAATTAACAAAAATCTCTAATGTCATGCTTTTTTCTTTCTTTTTTAATGTGTTATTTATATGTGAGAGGAGCAGATGACAAGAAAACAAGCTCAAATTAGATATTTGGTCAAAAGAAGCAATTTCTAATTACCTAGGGTCATTACAGCTTCAGCCTCATCTCTCATAACTTCTACTTCACCCTCAAGACTGTAGAGCAGTCACTGATGTTCAGTGTCCTGAGGTACTTCAAGATCATCAAAGGTAGTTTTCAATAAAAAGGTTGAAACAGGATTTTCTGGCTAATCTTCACTTAATCTGTTAAATTATAAAAACCCTGTTTTCTTTGAGCATTCTGGTTTATCAGAGTTTGTGTACAAAGGGAAAACATGTTGCTGAAGGGAGAATTTGAAGGTTATATTACAAAAAGTGCTCAACAACTATTCTCTTCCACAGAAGGCAGAATTAGAGAAAATGGGCTTAGTTTGAAGGAGAGAGTTAGGGTAGACGTGAGGAAGAACTTTCTGATGGTAAGGGTTACTCAAATTGGAATGTGTCACTTTGAGAAGTGATTGTGTCCATCCCTCATGAACAGTCCGATGACTCAGTCTTAGTGCAGAAATGTTCGATGTTTTTAGGTCTAGGACCTACCTCCAGTTCTCATCTTCCCTACCTCTCCTGTTGTTGCCCCTTCTTTTGGCAGCACTTTATAGGCCTCAAGACAGATCTTCTGAGCCATGGGGAAGCCCTTGAGCTGTCTTTGGGACATAGTGCTTTGGAGATAGCTGGGGAGTGGAAGAAGGCAGCAAGGAGCAGGCATAAAATGGCAAATGAGAAACCAACTAGTAGTAATTGTTTTATCTTGGTAATCTGTTTTTTTTATATAGAATTTTTAGAAATTCCTCCTTTCAACAAGCAGTACACAGAATCCCAGCTTCGAGCAGGAGCTGGCTATATTCTCGAAGACTTCAATGAAGCTCAGGTGAGGAGTTTCTTTGTGAAGCTTCCCAGAGGGGCAGTGATGAAGAGTGCACTTGCTGTACTGAGAAAAAGCCTGAGAGGGACAGTAACTAGAGATCCCAGGAAAAGCTTGTTGCATGGGCCCTGGCCAGTGTTGCTTAGTGGTAGAGCATCGGCCTGCACACTACTGAAGGGTTGTGGGTTTGATTCCTGGTCAAGGGCACGTACCTGGGTTGCAGGTTTGATCCAAGCCGGGTCAGGGGCTTGTGCTGGAGGCAACCAATCGAAGTGTCTCTCTCATATCTGTGTCCCTCCCTCCCCCCTCCCTCCCTAAAAATCAATGGAAAAAATGTCCTTGGGTGAGGATTAAAAAAAAAGGTTGTTGCACAGAATAGAGTTTAAAAGGAAGAGTAGTTAGAACTGTGGGTTAGTTAATGACTCTGGTTCTTTTGTCTAAAATGCTGGATACATGGAGTTTGGTTGTCCCTTCAGGATTTAGGCCCCCAGAACGCTGCAGGTGAGGCAAGGAGAGTATCTAGGGAACCCACTGGGCCTTTCAGTGAGAAGAGAGACCTTGGGCAGGACAGGCTCAGTCACATTTTGGATAGTACAGTTGACTCTTGAACAACGTGGGAGTTGCAGGGGGCTAACCTCTCATGTAGTAGAAAATCTGCATATAACCAGTCGGCCCTTCACATACTGGATTCCCAACAGTAGAGTTGACCTTTGAACACGGGTTTGAACTGTGTATGGGTCAATTGAAAAAATCCATAAGTGGACCCATGCCATTCAAACTCATGTTGTTCAATGGTCAACTGTATTTGGAAGTGTGCAGATCTGTTCTCCATGATGCAGGCTGTTCAGGGGCTTTGCATAGACATCACCAGACCCACCAGTCTGCTCCTTTTCTTCTAGTGTAACACTGCTTACCAGTGTCTCCTAATTGCGGATCAGCATTGTCGAACCCGGAAGTACTTCCTGTGCCTTGCCAGTGGGATTCCTTGTGTGTCTCATGTCTGGGTCCATGACAGTTGCCATGCCAATCAGCTCCAGAATTACCGCAATTATCTCCTGCCAGCTGGGTACAGCCTTGAGGAGCAGAGGATTCTGGACTGGTGAGTATTTAAGGGCCTGCCTAGAATAGTAGAAAGAGACAGCAAGCTTTTGGAGGGGAAGAATCTAGAGTAAGTATTTCTAGAAATTGGAATTATCACACGACCAATTATAGACTTTGAATAGGTTTGAGATTATTTTAGGAGTTGACCTAGTTCCTTCGGGTACACTGGTTACCTTTTGAAAGTGTGTGAGCACTTTCATGTAGGTTCAATATTCTCAACCTGTAAGGTTGGGGGACTACTTTTTAAGCAGCGCATTTAAAAATGTAGGCTTAGGAGCATGATTTGGCTTATTCTTGGCCCCAAGACAAACATGGAAATTGGAATGGGTGGATTAGAAGGCCACAATCCCAGAGAATACACATCATTCACAGAAAGAAGGGGGATAATGCAGGGGTTTTAAAGCATCCAGATGTACCTGAGTCCCTTTTTAGAAGGGCTCTTGTTGGATATTATCTATCATGCTGAGGTCTCTTCCAGTTCTAAGGTGCTGTCTCTCTGACTCCTTCATAGGCAACCCCGTGAAAACCCTTTCCAGAATCTGAAGGTACTCTTGGTATCAGACCAACAGCAGAACTTCCTGGAGCTCTGGTCTGAGATCCTCATGACTGGGGGGGCAGCCTCTGTGAAACAGCACCATTCAAGTGCCCATAACAAAGGTACCTGGAAAGAGTGTGTATGTGTTGTTATTGCTTCAAGGATGTCCTTAGACCCATAGCTGTTAGGCCTTGTGGTCTAAGTCTCAGTCCTGATGATAGAAACATGGATAAGGTTAACCTAAGAGAAGAAAAGTTCACCTTCAAGAGATGAGCCAACCTGAGTGAAGCACTGGGCTGTTTAGGCTTCTGTTGGTGGCCAGTAGTGTATTTGCTAAACATTTCCATAAGGTCAGCATTTAGTGACAACCTCTCACATTTGTGATCAGTAGCACGCTGGTTGAAATAAAGGGTTTTAGTTTGGGCAGAGTGGGATGCGCTGGCTAGAAGGCACATCTGGCTTTTTAATGGAGGGTTAAATTGAGTCTCCTTTCCTCATTCACCTTCCCCTGCTTCCTGCAGATATTGCTTTAGGGGTGTTTGACGTGGTGGTGACGGACCCCTCATGCCCGGCCTCGGTGCTGAAGTGTGCTGAAGCATTGCAGCTCCCCGTGGTATCACAAGAGTGGGTGATCCAGTGCCTCATTGTTGGGGAGAGAACTGGATTCAAGCAGCATCCAAAATACAAACATGATTATATTTCTCACTAAGGGTACTTGGTCTTACCGGTTTTATTCCTTGCTGTTGTGGAGATTGTGTTTTAACAAGGTTTTAAATGTGTCTTGTGTGTAATTGGATTCTTTGCATGGATCTTGTATATAGTTTTATTTGCTGGACTTTTATGATAAAATAAATGTTGAATCTCTTTGGTTGTAGTAACTGGGATTTCTTCATCCAATTCTTCAAACTTAACTCAGAACAAGCAGTAAGACAAACAGTACCTTCTCTGTNGAACAAGCAGTAAGACGAACAGTACCTTCTCTGTGGTTTTCAGTAGGCTTGTTCACTGTGGGCCAGCCAGCCAAGGAAAATAACAAGGAGTGACTNACTCAGAACAAGCAGTAAGACAAACAGTACCTTCTCTGTGGTTTTCAGTAGGCTTGTTCACTGTGGGCCAGCCAGCCAAGGAAAATAACAAGGAGTGACTTTTAAAGTTTTCTGTGGCATCATTGTTAAAAGGTTATCCTGGGCTGTCTAAAATTCAATATTCCTAAAAACCTGATTTTACAGTAGGCCCAGATTAAGTTGTGCCAATAGCTGAGTGAAATTCAGCACAGCTCTGAGTTTCCTGGCAGTTAAAAAAAAAAATCTATCTTCATAGAGTTGAACTCACTAAACTGACCTGTGGGTACTGTGTTCTCAGAGCTAAAAGGCAAAAGGACCAATTTCTGTGAATGGCCAGTGACTTTCTACAAGGATAAACACAAGAAACAGTGATTACACTTGGAAACGTTAGAAGCTGTAATAACAGGTACAAAATTTCATTACTGTTGTCACAGATGCTGAAACTGTCCCTTCCCTACCTGTAGTATCATCACTGTTGCTGTTCTCCCATTCTCTAAAGCAGGGGTCAAAAATATTTTTCTGCCAAATAGTAAATATTTTAGGCTTTGTGTGGGCCATTTAGTGTCAGAGCTACTCACCTTTGCCATGATGGCAGGAAAGCAACCACAGACAATGGGTAAATGAATGAGAGTGGCTATGTTCCAATAAAGCTTTATTTATAAAAACAGGTGGTAGGCATGGTTTGCTTATAAGCCCTACTCCAGGGGCAGCAGTGGAAGGGGGTCATCTTTACATTCTTATTCCCTGCAATTATCAGCTAAAGTATGAGGACCACACTGAGTGGCTACAGACTGAAGCCAGAATACTGCATTCTTTTTTTGGTTTAAAGGAAATTATTCAATGAATATTTACTTTTATTCACACTGATATGACTATTACTGATTACCGGTGCTGGCTGGGCTAGATTAAGAGAACCTGTGGTTCTCCTAAAATGGGATAATTACCCTGCAGTTTTCAGTATTTGAAATCTAACAATTTGACCTCAATTTTTTTTCTTAAGGAGATTTTTCTTTGTTAAAAAATACTTTAAATACATTGTCAATAGCTAGAATTGCCCTTTTACCAGCCTGAAATAACTGGAAGTTATTGGTAAAATTCTTCAGATCCACAGTTTGTCCCCACTTAAGGATGGCGACATTCTCCATTTCAATTTTCTGAAGGAGGAAAGAGAGTTTGCTGAGGGAGAAGTATGTCTTACCTGGTGCCTTCCTTGCTCAGTGGTCACATCCAGCAGTTGACCTATTTATAAATATAATTCCTCTTTCACACAAGCCACCAAATATTTAACTTTCTGATGTGTATTATTTACTGCTTGTGTCTCTCGCAGCTTGAACAGTACCTAGGCACATAGTAGGTGCTCAATGAACTTATCTGACAAATGTCCTCAATGGAATGGATCTTGCATGGTCAACAGAGGGAAAGTTGATGCCACATGTCTGCCTTTGTGGGCAAGTTCAGAACCACCCCTAAGGTGGGGCAGACCTTTCTACATGGGACGGAGTGAAAGGATCTCTACCCGTAAATGTTCAGTAATCTCTTCTAGGATGAAAGAGAGCCATCTCAGTAGTCTGCAGACACTTGGTGAGTGGCTAGAGAACAGGATGTTGGTTTTGAGTCTTGTTAAAGGCAGGAACGCAGTAGGGATTGACCTGTTATTTCAGTTTGTGAACCAAAACTGTTCACATCCCAAAGCTAGAAAAAAAGAAAAAAAAGAGCTTCACCAAACATGCTTTCCTAAGGTTTTCTTCACAGAAATATGAATCAGGGCAATCGTGATCTAGATAATTCATCTTAAAACTCAAAGTTTCTTTGACTCTTCTGCTAAAATTGCTTAGGAAAAAATCTATTTGAGGACTTCTCAGAGAGAGAAAGGAAAATAATACAGTGCTTTTTAAAATGAGACAGACCTCTGAGAGAAGCCAACAACCATTGCATCTCCGTATTAGATTTAAAAAGTTTAAGGTCAGAAGGGATGGTCCCCTCCTTTCATAGACACAGAAGCTGTGGGCCCACGAAGCAGGGTGCCTAAGTCTGCACAGCTAGTTAATGTCAGAACTAAAGCACGCTGCTTCCCAGCATAGCAATACACAACCTAGCCAAGAACTTAAAACCCATCTCAGCCTAGGGGTTTAGTATTTTACTATGATGACGACTTTTACTAGAAAATAATCCATTAAAATCATTAAAGATGATCAGACACAACCCTTTATCTCTCTGAGCCTTAGTTTCCTTGTTTATAAAATGAGGGTATAGGGACTAGATGATGGCTGAAGTCTGCTTCCAGGTTTGGAATTCTACAACTCATTTTATAAAAGCCACACAACAGTCCACTAAGTTCCCCAGGGGTTGTTCCTACCTGCCCAGAGTTCCACCAGCCTGGGTGTAATATTTGTTATAGTCTAGTCTTAACAGTAATTGAGCCAAATCCGAGTTGATTTGATGATTCCGAACACTGGAGAGAATCTTGAATAGGAGTGAAGACTGGCGGCTAAAGCCCTGCAGAGAGAAAAATTCAAACTGCCATTCCTCGACTCACCAACTACCCATGTGGAGAGGGGGCAGGGGCGTTCCTGGAAAAAGCCTTGCTCAGAATTCTACAGCACCGCCCGGCCTTCCCACATTCCCATTTCTCTCAGCTCCTAAAATGACTTCTTGGTACCAAGTCCATAGAACGCAGGGCNTGGCCTTCCCACATTCCCATTTCTCAGCTCCTAAAATGACTTCTTGGTACCAAGTCCATAGAACGCAGGGCTTCCTATGGAAGTACTCTCACATTCTCAGTAGGAATTTAGGAGCTGGTTTCAAGTTAATTCTGTTGTGTACTGGGGTTGGGGAGGGACTGTGCATTTTTGTTATAGAAGATAATTATAATCTCAGTGAAAAAGGGGGTTAGTTTAAGGAAGTAAGGAGGTTGGATATAAGAAAGTGAGAGCAAAGCCACTGCTATTTGGTGGGCTGAATAAATTATTCAGGGCTGAACTATTTTTAAATAATGAGGCAGCACATAATTATCTGCTTCAAAATCAACCAATACCAACATTTAAAATTTGTATCTTGTTATTTCTGTGTGTATGTATTGGGGAAATGCTTCATTGCCTCAAAGGGAAAGATATGGTTCCCCACTGGCAAAACCACCTCTACCCTTTGGACAGGGTGCATACTTCCACTGGCCAGGCAGACTCACCTTCACCAGGATGCTCAGCTGGGCGGCCCCACGTTCATCCAGTGGCCCCAGGTTCTGACTGACCAGCGAGCAAAAGCTGTGACAGAGATCTAGGATTTCATTCAGGCAGTGAAACACCTACCCAGGAAATGAGCTGGCATTAGGAAAAAGAGGGTCTGTGAAATGAAAGATTTAGGAAAACAATCTAAGAGCTAACTTGTTCTCATGTTCTCACGTCTGACCTCAGGAGAGACAATGCCACGTGTAAGTCCTGCCAATCCCTCCAAATGCAACATGTGCAAAACAAACCCTTCCCTTCCTGGCAAAGATGCTATTCTCTTAGTCACCCCTGCACAAAACCTCCACTCTAGCCACATTAAACTGGTCATCGTTTCTTAGACCCACTGCGTGTGCTCCTGCCTTGAGCTTTGCTTTCAGTGTTGTTCCCTGTGCTCCTCCTAATACCAGGTCGCACTCCCTCAGTGGAGTGCTCCCTTCCCACTGTAGCCTCTAGTGACCCCCTAATTCTCTCTCCTCAATATTATCTGTACTATTCATTCAGTTGGCGTTTGTTCTGGCCACCTATGTTGTTACTGATCTGTGTATGTATGTATGTATGTGTCCTGTTTCTCCAACTAGATTGTGAGCTCCTTAAGGGCAGAGCCATGACTTATACCTCTTTGTATCCCCAGTGCCTTGCATACAGTAAGCACTCAATAAATATTTAGTGATGACCACCTGCTCTGAGATTCTCCTTTTCCCCAAGGATGCACTCATGCCATACAAAGACATTCTACCTGTCACAGTGGTTCTTGGTTGTTTTCAATTCATGGAACCCTTTGGAGTGGCATTTATATAACTCACTCTCCCTTACTGCAGAAAAAGCAACAGCCCCAAATATCAGAACAAAAGAGAAGTCTGTGGTGCTTGTGGTTTGGCACAACTGAGGGGTGACAATGAGCTCACATTAGAGATAAAGCATAACCGTTACAGTAGAAACTACAAGGGGTCATTTCAATTGTGTGTTTTATCCTGGAATTGGCATCAGCTTGTTAGCTTGAAAAAAAATACTGGTACCTGGATCCCACTCCAGGGACTCTAAGTGCTCTGGGCCCTTGATTTTTTAAAGCTCCCAGATGATTCCCATGTGGCTCAAAGTTGAGAATAACTTCCCTGAAGGAGATATACATATGTACATAAACACACACATGGAGAGGGAGACATTCACTACTCCAGTTGTCTGTGAAAACAACTTTCAAACAACTGGTTGATCCTTCTCCAAAAGATTTCTGGGAAAGTAAATTCTATATGCTTTTCATTGGTCTTTCTGTGGTGTCAGAAAGGTTTTTAAAATTTCTCGAAATCCTTCCTTCTGAGGGTTTTTTCATCTATAGCTGCTCACCACATCCTATATTTCAGAGATTCAAAGACATTTAAGTTCCCTTTTAACAGTCCCTTTTGTTTTGCTTTATAAGTTGTTAAAAATGTTTAAAAATGGAGAGTGAACAATTACTTAATGATAGTTCCATATCCTGGCAACTCAAAGTGGCTAACGGAACAGTCAGGCGAGAAGCAGTGTGAGGAAACCAACCAGTCCTACTTACAGGTTTCAACAAAATGAAGGACTGAGCCAGCAAATTGCTCAGGAAGTGGTCGTGAGCCAACCGGATGCTTTCGAAGTCTCGGGTAGAATTGATTTGATGAAGCAGCTGTGAGAACTGAGACTCCAGCACATCTACCTGAAAGATAGTTACACAAATAATTTTAGCACCTTGCATATTCTGAGCACGCAGGGACATTAAGATGCCTGACAGGATGACACAGAGGTTCTTTGCCCCCACTCATCTTCCTCCTGTCCAAGCCACTTTAAGGCTGACCAAAGATACCCTTAGAGACCTAGCCTTGTAGAAAGTTACTTGCCTAATTCCCCAACCTCCAATGTCTTGGCAGGTTCCCCACCTCACCACCCGCCGGAGCCCAGTTCCCTCATATGACATGCCCTCCACTGACTGACTTGGTTAACTTAATGTCCTATAGGATTCCAGAAGTTATAGCAAACTAAAAATAAGGGTCAAGTAAAAAATTACTGCACTGCTGATAAGGACCCTAACCCCTCATTTTCCTTCATTTATTTTCACTTTCCTTAAGAAACATGCCTAGTGATACAATCTGTGAATTTTCTCAAACCCCAGTGTTTCACCAAACTCCTGCCAACATCCTGGACTTCTCTTCCTACCCCTTCCTTCTACTCATTCGTCAGCACAGACCTGGAGGTAGTACTGAAGATTATCCACCAGGAATGCCATGTGATTCCTTAGGCGCCACTTGACTGCATCAGTCTGGTTGGACTTGAGGTGCTTGCGCTGCATCTGCAGGGCCCAGCAGTGCTGCAGTTCAGCTTGTACCCGGCGCACACTCAGTAAATACTTGAAAACAACGTTGTACCTGGGACAGAAGCATCAAGCTACACAAGATAAAAACTTCACTCCTTGCCCCCATCCACACAGCAGACCCTAGCACTTTGTGCCACTTGCCCCTCCCCAAAAAGGCAGGAAGTAAGAATGGCTAGAAATGGGAACAAAATGGTTTGTTTATATGATGGACTATTATATAGCCATCAAATGAACTTCAGCTGTACAACAAAGCAAAATGACTCCCAGTAATATCATTTTGAATAAAAAAGGTAAATCTCAAAAGACTGCATACAGTCTCATACCTTTTACAGTGTTTAAAACGAACAGAAAAAAGCATACTTTCGGGGAATATATATATGTTATAAAATGATATATATATGAATAGAAAACATGGAATTTAGCATAGTGGTCACTTTGGGTTGTGGGAGGCAAGTGGGCAGGACTTCTGGAAGGACCACATAGGTAGACATTATTGCCAGTGTTCTAGTTTTTGTGCTGGGAAGTGGTTTTATGGCATGCAAGCAAGCGTGTGCGTGTGCGTGTGTAAGGAAGGGAGAAGGGTCTTGCAAGGGGGTGTGTGTGTGTGGGTGTGGGTGTAAGGAAGGAAGGACGGAGGGTGTGAGGAAGGAAGGGAAGGAAGGGAAGAAGGAAGGAAGGA